AGGGCTGCTTATGCACAGGGAGACAGCTCAGGGGGCAGGAGCCCACGGCGGGATGGACACTGGGAAGAAGTAACTGTGGGGAGGAGGTAGGAGGGGAGCTGTTGCATTGTGGTAAACTGTGGTCAATGTCATGAGACAGTGTATGTGAACTGCTGTATGGAAAGTGAATTTGCTCTGTAAATCTTCACTCAAATCACAATAAAAACAAAACAAAATAAAAAGAAAGATTAAAGGCCTTACACATCCCTCGAGGCTGGGATTGAACCCCCCTCCCCTGAACCTGGACCAACCATCAGCCAAACAATAACAGACAAGCTTAGAAAATGAGTAACAACACCAGGGAGGAATGTGCTCTTCATACGATCAACCACACAAGACCAAAAGGGCAGCATTTCCCAAAGACAAAGCTCAGAATATAGGAAGGGGGAAGGGAAGAGGGATGAGTAGAACCAGGGACCCCAGGGAGGAAGTAGGAAAAGTACTATCCCATTGAGTACATTGCAACCAATGTCATGAAACGAAATGTGTGTAAATTGTACAATGGCGAACTAATTGGCTCTGTAAACTTTTTCCCCAAACTACAGTGAAAAGTTAAAAAAAAAAAAAAGGTGAGGAAACAGTCACCTATTAAGTTGCAACAAATGTCCACAAGGGCACGTCCCAACTGTTAGGCTGACAGGATGCATTCTTCTCCCCGCCTGGCCAGTGTTAATATTCTTAGCATCTTTTTGCAACCTAGTGTGTGAATAACCCCCAGTCTTTTTTACAAAATTTTAGCTCTGAGTTTTGTAATCTTAAAGGTAAGTTTCAAAGTTCTGAAATTTCTCAAGAGTCTATCTAAATCATGTACATGATGTGTACAAAGATCTGGTGGGGGCAGGGCAGTAAAGGCATCTTTGAGGGCGGCGAGAAGGGTGGGGTGGCAGAGGGACTGATAGTTAAGGTGATATGTGTCACCTTGGCTGGGCCTGGTTTAAATGGCTGGGCAGCTGGATGTAGCTGTTCCCAAGGAGACTTGTAATCACTTCCATGGTAGAATCAATCTACCGGAGCAGCTGAGTAGCTGCCTTAGGGCTGTGGTCTGCTTCCACTACGTAAAAAGACGCTCTGAGAAAGGTCTCTGAGCTTCCTGGCACATCTGGATCCTGCATTTGGCTGAATCTTCATGTCAGTGGCCTGCCATGTTGTCTGCCGATCGTGGGACTGTGTCTGAACTTGAACTAGTGGCCTGCCGTGTTGCTTGATAAGTTTGGGACTGTGCCATTTTACTTGTCGACCTTGAGTTTGTCAGTCTCAGCAGGCAGCAGCTGCCTGAGTTAGGAGAAGCCTCCAGCATCCATAGGCTTGGAGGAAGAGGCACAGCTAAAGCCCAAGTTTGCAAGGCTGTCACCCAGCCCCTAGAGATGGCACTTTGGACTCGGACTTCTAGCTCCTAAAACTGTAAGAGAATAAATCTCTGTTTGCCAAAGCCACCCATTTGTGATAGTTTCTTTTAGCGTGGCACTAGAGGTAACCCAAATGGGGACTGACACAGAGGGTTTCAGGAGCGAATGAGGTGGAACGCACCCATGTGGTTGCCATGGTGAGGCATTGGGGCATCTGCCTGTGAGTCATGAGAAGCTACAGAAGAATTTGACTCACCTTTGAAGGTGACCTTCAAGAGAGGTCTGATCTGAGTTTTGGCTCCACAGGGGCAGGGATGCGTGCTGAGAGGTCACTGAGGAGGTGTGAGTAAGATCCAGGTGAGAAGAGAGGGTGTCTGCAGCGAGGCAGAGAAGAGTGGAAGTGGACAGGACTGGTCTGATTCATAAGATAGTTAGCAGGTAACAGAAACATGACTTGGGGTGGACTGGATCTTCATTCAGTCATTTGATGACCTTTAAAAAATAGTTTTATTGTGCTAAAAATACATGAAACAAAACATTTGCCAGTGCAGTATGTTTTACGGGTACCATTTAGTGACATTGCTTACATTTGCCATGTGTACAACTGTTACCACCATCTGTTTGTAGTTTATTCCACCTCCATTAACAGAAACTCAGTGCCACCAATGATTCTCCCCTTCCCTCTGCACCATGGTGTCTTAGGCTTGGCTCTCTAGAGAAGAAAAACCAGTGAAGCTTATATATATATATATATATATATATAGTTGTTGTTGTTGTTATGTGCTGTATATATATATATATTAAATAAATAAATATAAACAAAAAACCAGACTCACTGCTGTCAAATCTATTCTGACTCAGAGCAACCCCTTCCAAGGAAGCATCTCTACGGAAGTAGAGTGCCCAGTCTTCCTTCTGAGAAGTGGCTGGGTGGGTTTGAACTACCAGTCTTCTGGTTAGCAGTCAAATGCCTTAGGCACGATGCCACCAGAGCGCGTGCACCCACACATACACAGAGATGTATACCAAATTATTTAGTCAATTCCAAGTTATAGTGATGCCTTTTATGTGCCTCATCTTCTTCTCATGGAGCAGTTGGTGGGTTTGAACAGACAACCTTCTGGTTAGTGGTCAAATGTCATACACACTGTGCTACCAGAGAGAGAGATAGAGAGAGAGAGAGAAAGAAGGAGGGAGAGGGAGAGGGAGGGACAGGAAAATGGAGGGAGAGGGGAGAGGGAGAGAGAAAGGGAGGGAGAGAGGGGGAGAGGGAGGGAGGGGAGGAGAGAGAGAAATTCATCTCAAGGAAATGGCTCACACAATTTCGGGTCAAACATCAAGCTGGGGACGTCTCCTGACTCACACAGCTGCAGGGGCTGACGAGCCCAAGATTGGCAGGCAGCATAGCAGGCTGTGGTTTAAAGAACGATAAATCCAGTATCAGCAGGAAAAATGGCAGATTATCAGCTCATAGGCTACAAAGGCTGCAATCCCAAGACCAGCAGGCAGTAGGGCAGCCACTGTTTCAGCTGCAAGAAACAGACATGATAAGCCAGGTGCAGGGTCCAGATGGAGCAAACAGCCAGAGAGCTTTGCCAGGAAATCCAGATGTGTTGGAAGCAGGCCACACCCCTGAGAAACTTCCTTGCAACTGATTGGCTGCTCATAGCAGATCTCATCATGGAGGTGATTACATCACACCAAATCTCATCATGGAGGATGACTACATCGCAGCTGCTTAAACCACTTAGAATCATGGTCCCCCCCAGTTGACACACAACCTTAACTATTACACATGACAATCACTGAACTATATACGGTCTTTATACATTTGCCTATTACATATAAAATTATACAGGCTTTTTGGAGTTGACTTATTTCACTCAGATAATGTTTTCAAGATTCATCCATGTCATAGCATGTATCAGAAATTCATTTCTCCAGAAAGAGAACTGTTGGTTGTTCCCATCTTTTGGGTGTTGCAAATAGTGCTGCAATGAGCATGGTGTCCAAATCTATCTGTTTGAGTCTCTGCTTTCAAGTGACTTGAAAGTAGTGCCAGTTAGATTTTAACACATACTCACATTTTATAGGATATTACATGTCGAGGGGTGGGGTGGCCCAAAGATAAAGTCGGTTTGGACAGAGGGTTGGTTGGGAAGGTCTTCTGCCACCTGCAGAAAAGGAGGAAGGTGTGGTGTAGTAAATTACCTGGTGTGGCTTTTCTAGCCGTAAGTCTTTGTAAACTCCATGGTGGAATTTGCCACGAGCAACTGAGTAGCTCCTGATTGTTAAAGTTATCTACCTGGGGTATTTCTGTTGAGAGTGGCAACTCTGATATGAATTCTGACATTGGGATTGGTTAGTTTGGCCACTCTGCCAGGCTCAAAAGGAGCCCTCCTGGAGGTAGAAGAAACCTCTCACTGCCAGCTGGGAGATGCGAAAGACATTCATTGCTGAGAGAGAGACATGAGAGACATGCATTTCTGGGAGAGAGATGCGAGAGACATGCATTGCTGAAAGAGAGCCGTGAGAGACATGCATTGCTGGGAGAGAGATGCGAGAGACATGCACTGCCGGGAGAGGGACACCGAGGGACACGTGCTGCTGGGGGAGAGACTGAGAGAGACTGTTGGCTGAGAGACGGCAGGCTGAGAGAGACTGAGCATGTTCCTGAACTTGAATTGTAGCCTGGTGCTTCCCTAATAAACCCCATAATCTGTGAGTTCTGTGTGGCCACTGCAGTGAATTATTGAACCCAGCAGAGAGGTGGTGGGTGCTGTGGGAGGAACAGTTGGTGTCAGGGTTGATGAAAGGGCAGGAGGGAGGCAGCATGCCTGGCCTCACAGGGATAGGCCTTGGGCTACTGATGGTGATTCTGTCTTCCTCTTGTGGGGTTAGAGGAGGTCAGAAGATGCAGCCTCCCTGCTCCTTTGGCAGAGGGGGAAAAGGAGAAGGAAGGAAGGAGGGAGAGAAGGTGAGACGGACATAGAGACACATGGTTACCCAGAGACAGGAGGATGGAGAGCTCAGCATTGCTGCTCATTGGTTGGGCAAAATCAAACCCTGCCCTGTTTCCTCCTGCCCCATCCTGGACTTGAATAGGCCACTTACCTGGGCACAGATCCTGGTGATGGGGGAGGACATGCAGTTGGACTTCATACCTGGCACCTTAAACCTCACGACTACCTGTTTCTGTGAGCCCCAGGATTCGAGGCAGCAGTGCTGGAAGCAGGGCCAGAAGGTGCAGTTGGGGCCACAGAGGCGGGTGTGGTTCAGGAGCAGGATGGTCCCTTTATCACAACACTGCTCCAAGGCATTATAGATCTTATTCCCACACCTGGGCGCCGGCTGGCACAGCCACAGTCCAGACTCTGCAGGAGTCAGAGCTGGAGTGGGCTCCAAGGACCAGGCTGGGGTCTCTGGCCGCCCCCCCATCCACAAGGCTGCCTTCTCCTGCCTCTCCTCACCTGTTTTTCCTTCTGAGTTGGAGCCTAGAAGTTCAAACATGAAGACAGCAACTGAAAAGAAGAATGAGGATGATGCTGGGAGTGTAGCCATCTGGTCACATTCATGGGGGCACAGGATGATGTCACTGAGCTGCTTTCATCGCAGATGACAACCACAGTGGATTTTGAGATGGACCCTGTGTGTGTGGGGGGGTAGTTTCCTGGGAACTGAGCTTGTTATGTGAGAAAGTGCAGGGCAAGCTCTGGGAAGAGTGAAAATTGCAATTTGCAGGTTGGGAGAGAGCGGCAATGCAGTCAGAGATGACCCAGGAGTAGTTATGAGGTGGGAAGTCCACAACTGAAGCGAGAAGAGAGGTAGGTTTGAGGTTTGGAGGTATGTGAGGGATACCTCACATGACGCTTAGGCTGGACGGGGGGGCTGGGCTTGACTTACCTAAGCTTCTGGGCACCATGCTACTCAACTGGACTTCAGGGGAGTGGATGGGAGAAGCAGCAGAGGAAAAAGAAAATGGGACAAGACTTTGCTAAGGCTTGTATAAAACCTGGTAGGACCTTTGCTGCGCCTTATATCAACTATTGTCAGCCACACCCAGGAAATCCACCCTCGGTGTTGAAACAGAGGCATCAATGTTGCTAGAAAGAGAGGAGTATGAAGAGTCTTAGCCAAAAGCAAGATGAATGATACATGAATAACTTTGACAAAAGGCTATTAAACCAGTTTCGACTGCTGCCACTTTCCCACCCCCTCACTTCAGGGTAAATGCTACGCTGCAGCCTTTCAAAGCTGAGATTCTAGTGAGTGTCTTGTTTTGAATATTGCCAAGGGGAAGCCCAGTTGTGAAAGATTCCTTGGCTCTCCCTCGGCGTGCAAGCCCTCCACCAAGTATCAGCTGTTTCTAGACTTCCCACACTCTTCCACTCTGGAAGTTTCAAGAGATCCCTAACCTCCACGTCTCAACCCACCTCCAGGCCTGCAGTCTTTATTATCCTTCAGATCTGCTTGGGAGTATATTAAGAAGCTGGTGCAGCATCTAGAAGAAGAAGGGCTGCAAAAACCCCCTTAGGGAAACCAACAAAGGCATAGATAGTCATGAGGCTGATGTCTTGGGTTCACTGTATGGATTGAAAGGCAGCACGTTTATGGAGCGTTTTGTCCAAAGGAATGCTCCGTCTGTGCTTCTTACTATTATTTTATCATGTCCGTTGCTATTATTTGTGTGATGAGATAATAGGTGGAGTCTCTAGTGGTGTAGTGCCTAAGGCTTTTGACTGCTAACCAGAAGGCTGGCGGTTCAAACCCACCAGCCACTCCTCGGAAGGAAGATGGGGCAAGCTACTTCCATAGTGATACTGCCTCGGAAACCCAAGGAGGGGTCGCTATGAGTCAGAGTCAACTCCACAGCAGTGAGTTTGGTTTTTTGGTTTGGATTACTTGAGTGTGTCCTTCCCTTCTGTGTGAGAGGATTGGGAAGATGAAAGAGGGAGAAGGCAGAGGCTTCAAGTGTTGTCAGGTGCCTCATTCGTGGGAGAGGTTTCTTCCTCTCCTCTTTTAGGTATGTGCCATACCTCAGGGAGGCGGAAGGCAAGGCTAGGCCCCAAGCCAGGAAAGGGAGGGAGCAGGCGAGTCTGGGGACCTCTGGAACAGCAGGATATCCAGGTAGAAAGGGGCGGGAGGCAAGGCTAGGCCCCCAAGTCCCGTAGAGCCAGGAAAGAGATGGAGCGGCCAGGGTCCACAAAGTGGCAGCTGCCAGGTAGGAATTAGGTAAGGGGAGGGCACAGAGGTTTCCAACAGCCAAGGGAGACAAATTTGTCTGTCAGTTTGTCATCCTGTGGGGCTTGTACGTTGCTGTGAGGCTTGAGGTGTTTCAGATGCCAGCAGAGTTGCACATGGTACACAGGTTTCAACACAGCTTACAGACTAAGACAGACTAGGAAGAAGGAGGAGGCCATCTGCTTCTCAAAAATTGGCCAGGGAAAACCTTATGAATAGCAGAGAAACACTGTCTGATACATTACTGGGCAACTTTATGAATAGCCCTGAAACATTGACTGACACAGTGCAGGAAGATGAGCCCCTTGGGTCGAAAGGCACACAAAACAGGATGGGCAAAAAGCTGCCTCATCAGAGTAGAACCAAGCTTAATGAAGTGGGTAAATTAAGTCTTTCAGGACCTCCATGTACTGACGTGGCATGACTCAAATTGAGGAGAAACAGCTGCAAACATCCATTAATAATCAGAACATGGAATGTACAAAGTATGAATCTAGGAAAATTGGAAGGTGTCAAAAATGAAATGGAATGCATAAACATTGATATCCTAGGCATTAGTGAGTTGAAATGGACCAGTTTTGGCCATTTGGAATCAGACCACTATGTGGCCTACTATGTTGGGAATGATAAATTGAAGAGGAATGGCGTGGCATTTATCATCACAAAGGATGTTTCAAGATCTCTCCTGAAGTATCATGCTGTCAGTGATAGGATAATATCCATATGTCTACAAGGAAGACCCGTTAATACTACTATTATTCAAATTTACACACCAACCACCAAAGCCAAAGATGAGGAAATTGAAGATTTTTATCAATTTCTGCAGTCTGAAATTGACCGAACATGCAATCAAGATGTGTTGCTTATCACTGGTGATTGGAATGCGAAAGTTGGAAACAAAGAAGAATCACCAGTAGTAGGAAAATTTGACCATGGTGACAGAAATAATGCTGGAGATTGTATGACAGAATTTTGCAAGACCAACTACTTATTCATTGCAAATACCTTTTTTGAACAACACAAATGGTGGCTATACATGTGGACTTTGTCAGATGGAATATGCAGGAATCAGATTGACTACATCTGTGGCAAGAGGAGATGGAAAAGCTCAATATCTTCAGCCAAAACCAGGCCAGGAGCTGATTGTGGAACAGACCATCAACTGCTCATATGCAAGTTCAACTTGAAGTTAAAGACAGTTAAAACGAGTCCACGAGAGCCAAAATATGACTTTGAATATATCCCTTCTGAATTTAGAGACCATCTAAAGAATAGATTTGATTCATTGAACACCAGTGACCGAAAACCAGAGGAATTGTGGTATGACATCAAGAGCATCATCCATGGAGAAAGCAAGAGGTCATTAAAAATACAAGAAAGAAAGAAAAGACCAAAATGGATGTCAGAAGAGACTCTGAAACTTGCCCTTGAGTGAAGAGTAGCTAAAGCAAATAGAAGAAATGACAAGATAAAAGCACTAAACAGAAGATTTCAAAGAGCAGCTCGAGCAGACAAAGCCAATTCCTATAATGAAATGTGGAAAGACCTGGAGTTAGAAAACCAAAAGGGAAGAACTCACTCAGCATTTCTCAAGCTGAAAGAACTGAGGAAAAAATTGAAGCCTTGAGTTGCAATATTGAAAGATTGTATGGGCAAAATATTGAATGATGCAGGAAGCATCAAAAGAAGATGGCAGGAATACACAGAGTCACTGCACCAAAAAGAACTGTCGATCTTCATCCATATCAGGAGGTGGCATATGATCAAGAACCAATGGTATTGAAGGAAGAAGTTGAAGTTGTACTGAAATAACTGGTGAAGAACACGGCTCCAGGAATTGACGGAATACCCATTGAGATGTTTCAACAAATGGATGCCCTGCTGGAGGCACTCACTAGGTTATGCCAAGAGATTTGGAAGACAGCTACCTGGCCAACTGACTGGAAGA